GGAGCATTACTCACAGTAGCTAAAAGGTAGAAGTAAGCCAAGTATCCATGGGCAGATGAATGGATAAACAGAATGTTGTATGTACCTATCGTAGAATATTACTCTGCCTTAAAAAGGAAGGAAATTCTGATACATGTTGCAACATGGATAAACTTTAAAAATATGCAAAGTGAAAGAAGCCAAATATTCTATGGTTTCACTCACCTGAACTGTCTAGAAGAGACAGAAAGTAGATTAGAGATTAACAGGGGCTGGAGTCCAAGTGTAGTTATGAGGAACCATTTAATAGATACATAGTTTCTGTTTGGAGTGATGAAGAAATCTATAATAATAAAAACGTAATATGCTAATTAGGCTGGACAGCCAAACAATCTTCCGGACATCATTCCAAACGTCCTTCTGGATAAAGCCATGGAGGCAGGGGCCAAGACAGAGGTGGTTAGGGATGATCAGGCAGGCAGGTGAGTGGTCAGGAGTGATCAGGCAGGCAGGCAAGAGGCAGTTGGAGGAAATCAGGCAGGCAGAGTGGTTAGGGGCAATCAGGCAGGCAGGCGAGCAGTTAGAGGCATCAGGCAGGCAGGCAGAGGGGTTAGGGTCATCAGGCAGGCAGAGTGGTTAGGTGTGATCAGGCAGGCAGGCAAGCAGTTAGGGACCATCAGGCAGGCAAGTGAGCAGTTAGGAGCATCAGGCTGGCAGAAGGGTTAGGGGTCATCAGGCAATCAGGCAGAGTGGTTAAGGGCAATCAGGCAGCCAGGCCAGCAATTAGGAGCCAGCAGTCCCAGATTGTGAGAGGGTGCAGGCCACGCTGAGGAAATTCCCAATCCCTGTGCATGAATTTTGTGCACCAGGTCTGTAGTTTAGAGATAAGGGTTTACAACATTGTGACTCTAATTATTGTCACTGAATTATACACCTAAAACTTGTTAAAATGGCAAATTGTATGTCATACATATTTTCCCCACAATAACAATAATATTAAGACATTATTTTGCCCGGACGAGTGCGGGTCAGTTGGTTGGGCATCGTCCCATACACTGAGAGGTTGCCGGTTTGATTTCTGGTTGGGAACATGCAAGAGGCAGCCAATCAGTGTTATGTTCTCACATCAGTCTCTCTCTCTCTCTCTCTCTCTCTCTCTCTCTCTCTCTCTCTCCCTCTCTCCCTCTCCCTCTCCCTATTCCTCTCCCTCTTTCTTTCCCTCTCCCCTCTCTAAAAAGTAATAAAAATATATTTTTAAAGTCTATATCTGAGTAAGCAAGATATTGCAATTCAAATGTGATGGGGCAGACCCCAGCCGCCCTCTGTGGCGGGCAGTCCTCCTGTCAGGGGCTTTGCTGGGCTCACACTGGGCCTCCTAAGCCAGGCTCATCCTGGAGGCACCCCCGAGGCACTGCCGTTCTGTAGCTGATGGCCGGCCCTGTCTCAGACCTACGATGGGGGATGACGTACCTCACCATTCTGAACTTGAACTGCCTGTTCCCCACTGACTGCACCTTGGATGTTGCAGAGTGTTGTGAGGAGTTCCTGAGAGGATGTGAGGCATTTACCATAGTTTTTAAAATATATTTTTATTGGTTTCAGAGAAGAAGGGAGAGAGAGAGAGAGAGGAGAGAGATATCAATGATGAGAGAGAATCATTGATTGGTAGCCTCCTGCACATCCTCCACTGGGGACCAAGCCCGAAACCCAGGCCTGTGCTCTCCACCAGAATCGAACCTGGAACATTCAGTCCATAGACGCTGGAAACAGCCCTTGAAGTGACCAAGGCCCAGAGGTCACAGCCAAAGGCCCGCTTAGAACAACAAGAGAAGACCGACTTCCCAGAGGCAGGGAGCCAGCCCTGAGGAGCACTAACGCGTCCAGCTCAGACAAATCAACAGGCCCGGCTGGACCGGGTCAGGGGTGGCTCAGCTTCCAGGGGAGGGGCCCCGCGGGAGTGAAGGGCTAGGCCAAGATCTGAACTGCTGGCCGCAGAACCCATTCTGGAAGATACAAGCAAAAAAATGCTTTATTGCCCTAGCCGGTGCGGCTCAGGGGATAGAGCACCGGCCTGTGGAATGACGGGTCCTGGGTTTGATTCAGTGAAGGGCACATGCCCAGGTTGTGGGCTTGATCCCTAGTGTGGGGCCTGCAGGACACAGCCAATCAATGATTCTCTCTCACCACTCATGTTTCTCTCCCTCCCTCTCCCTTCCTCTCTGAAATCAATAAAAATATAGTAGTATATATTTTAAAAAATCATTTATTCGTGCATTTCTGAAAACGTGGAGAAAAGCTGGAGTACTTGGTTTGACAAATAGACAAGAATGCGAGAAGCTAAGGAAGAAACAAGCCAGGGTCACTCCACAAAGCCAGACCTGCGGGACACTGCTGCCACCACCGAGCCCGGCAGCCGGCAGCCCGGCCGGGCGGAGCCTCTGGCCTCGGCACACTGCCACTGCCCTGCCCACCCGCACAGAATGCCCCCCCTGGTCAGCCTGGCAGCAGCTCCATACTCGAGCCTGGGCCTCCGCATGATGGGCAAGCCTGGGCCCCGGCCAGACCCCAGAGGCAGGAGGCCGGAGGCCGGAGGCAGGCAGTCCTAGCATCTCCCCCAGGAGGCAGAGGTGCCGTTCACCAGACGCCTGGCAGGAGATTCCCCACAGAAACCAGGGAGGTGCGGAGGCTGGCAGCCCACCTGCCAGCTCAGAACCGGGAGACCAGCGGCCAGGCAGAAGTGTTGATGCAAGAAAGAAGGCAGGCTCACCCAGGGCACTGGCTCTGGGGCGTGGGGGACCTCAGGCTCCTGTGAGGACCAGCTGTGGGGCCTGCGGCCCAGGGGCCTGGAAGCAGTGCTCAGACGCGGACCTCGGGGAGGTCTCAGAACATCTCCATGCTTCTGGACCCGCTCAGAAACCTGCCGCCCGCTGTCCCACTTCCTCTTTCTTTTTAAGTCCTCATCTGAGCATATGTTCTTATTGATTTTGAGAGAGAGAGAGAGAGAGAGAGAGAGAGAGAGAGAGAGAGAGAGAGAGAGAGACATCAATGTGAGAAACAGCAATCAATTGCCTCCCCAGTATTTGCCCCTACTGGGGATTGGACCCACAACCTAGGTAGGTGCCCTGACCAGGAATCGAACCCGCAACCTTTTGGTGCACCAGATGATACTCCAGCCAGCTGAGCCTCCTGCCAGGGTTGTCCTACTTCCTTCGAGCGCCCTGTTCTCCTTGGTCCTTCCCTAAAGCCAACCAGCAAACCGGGTGCCTGGGGGGTCGCCCAGGTGTTTTCACAGTCAGTCCCTGCCTTCCTAGGGCAGCGGGTGTGCAGGTGGCAGCAGCAGCCTCGCTGACCCGGAGTGTGGGAGTGCCAGCAGCCAGAGCAAGGGAGTCCCACGGTCTTCGCTTGGCTGGCCTGGCGGCCTCACGCTGAGGGCAGGAGTGGGCAGGGAGAGGAAAGCACATTTATTGGGCATGTATTTGCTACAGCAGTGGGCAGCACCACGGATGCAGTTACTGCACGTTTACTCTGCCCCATGGTGTGCTAAGTGCCTAGCATACACCGTCCCACCAAATCTCACAGCATCAGCATCCCATCCTCCAAAGGAGGTCACAACTCCCCGCGGTCCAGGCAAAGCCAGGCTTCCAAAGTGGGTTTGCCTGATTCCCACGAGGAATGCTTCCAACAGGCATGTGCTCAGGCTGGCCCAGGGCCAGAGCTGGGCAGGCTGGGCCAGACCATCTTGAGAGCACCTTGGGAGGAAGGGGGATGGAGAGAGGAGACCCAGACACTCTCCCTAGAGCCCTGCCCTCAGGGGGAGGCTGGGTGTCTTTGAGGAAAGCCTGTCCCCGCCCTAGGAAAGAAAGGCTGTCAGGAGGGACTTGCAGACCTGGCTTAGAGGGAGCAGCCAGGATGTAAGTCATTTGGGACAAAGGCTTGGCCTGGCTCTTCTCTGAGGCTCTGAGCGGGGAGGGAGAGATCACTCCAGAGGCTGCCTGGGGCCCTGCCCCTCTTCCCCGTCCACCCCGCTGGCAGCCCCGCCCCTAGGCAGGCCTCTGGCCAGGAGGCACCTGGGCACCTGCTTCTCCCCACCTCCCAGGACCCACCCGTGTCTCTAGGCCTTGCCCCTCAACTCTGGGCACCAGGTGTATCGCCCAGAGTCTCTGAAGTAAGTGTGTGTGCTTCCCAATGGGAGGGGGCTGGGGTGGACGAAACCAAAATTCACAGTCAGTCAGGTGAAAGGCACAGGAGAGCAAGGCAGGAGGGCGTCTCCCCACTGTGCCGGGTCAGGGGCCACGCCTGCTCACTTCAGCAGCCCCTGGGGGCGCGTGGCCACAGACTCAGGCTGCGAATGCCTAGAACAGTGCCTGGCACACTGGGGCACTAAATACTTGTGGGCGAAGTGGAGGAAGTGGATTGCCTATTTTGTCTTCAGCTAAAGTGTGACTTCTTTTTCCACTTTCCCCTGAGCACACTCGTCTCATCTCCCTGCCCTGGAGTCCCCCAGTCCCCCCGGCTGCCCTGTTGAGCTTTGCCAGCTGTGGGCCAGACTCCCCTGTCCCAGCAACACAAGAAGCCACGCGGCACCAGGCTGGACTAGTTCCTTAGCAGTTTTATTGAGTAGTGAGAGGTAGAGGCATTTTCTACAGGACACATGTCCTCAAAGTCGAAAGGGAATTGCTTTGGGACAGACTGACAGACAGGTGGCGGGGCAGGGCAGGTGTCCAGGACCGGGCGTGGGCACCAGGGGCAGCTCAGGCCCCCAGGGGCGCCTGCACCTGGGTCTGCTCGGGGAGGGGGTTCCTCAAACTCGAAAGGGAATTGCTTTGGGAAAGACCGACTGACAGGTGGCGGGGTAGGGCAGGTGTCCAGGGCGGGGCGTGGGCACCAGGGGCAGCTCAGGCCCCCAGGGGCGCCTGCTCCTGGGTCTGCTCGGGGAGGGGGTTCCTCAAATTCGAAAGGGAATTGCTTTGGGACAGCCGGACAGACAGGTGGTGGGGCGGGGCGTGGGCACCAGGGGCAGCTCAGGCCCCCACGGGCGGCTGCTCCTGGGTCTGCTCGGGGAGGGGGGGCGCTACGGGCTGGTCCTGGCTCTCCTGCACGGGCTGGTCCTGGCCCTCCTGCACGGGCTGGTCCTGGCCTTCCTGCACGGGCTGGTCCTGGCCCTCCTTCTGCAGCGAGCTGAAGAAGGAGTTCACCTTCTCCCTCAGGTCCTTCTCCAGAAAAACCAGGTGGCTTTGCACGTCCCCCGACTGGGGGCCCAGCTTCTGCTTGAGCTCCTCCACCTGCTGCGTCAGGATCTTGTTGAAGGCGTCGCCGTGGGGCTCCACGCTGCGGCGGAACTCCTCCACCTTGGCGTCCAGCTGGCCGCCGAGCTGCGCCAGGGACTGCCGCAGCCCCTCGGCGCCGCTGCCCAGCTTGCCGCGCACGTCCTCCGCCAGGGGCGCCAGGCTGCGGCGCAGCTGCTCCGCGTCGGCCGAGAGCTTGGTCTTGAGCAGGTCGGCGTTCTTCTTCATCTGGAAGGCCAGCCCCTCCAGCTGGTGGTTGAGCTTCTCCTGGGCGTCCTGCGCGTAGGGCGACAGGCTGCGGCGCAGCTCCTCCACGTTCTGGTCGATCTTGAGCTTGAGGTCGTCGGCGTAGGGCGTGAGGCGCCCCTTGAGCTCCTCCACGTTGCGGTCGATCAGGCCCTGCAGCTCCTCGGCCACGGGCGCCAGCGAGGCCTGCAGGTTGTCCTTCTGGTCGCGCAGCAGCGTCTCCATGCGCTGCGCGTAGGGGCTCAGCTGGCTGCGCAGCTGCTCGGCCTGCGAGCGGACCTGGGCGCGCAGCTGCTCGGCGTAGGGCCCCAGGCGCTGCTGCAGGTCCCGCGCGCCGTCCTCGATGCGCTGGCTCACGTCCTGGGCGTGCGGCTGCAGCCGCGCCCGCAGCTCCTCCAGCTCCTTCTGGATCTGCTCCTTCAGCTGCTCCGAGTCCCTGGTCAGCCGCTCGCTCAGCCCCGTGGCGAAGGGCACCAGCTTCTTGTGCAGTTTGCTCGCGTAGGTGTTCACGTCGTCCACTTGGTCCTGGAAGAGGGAGCTGCGGGGGGCGCGGGCGGGGTTAGCTTGGGCGTCGCCCCGGACCGTGTTTCCCCGACCTGGCATTCACCCCGCACATCCTGCCCAGGACGGGGAAGCGGGGGAGCGGGTGGGCCTCGCCCCGCTCGCCTTTAGGGCTGGCAGGCCCGGTTGCTGCCCTGCGTGCGCACACTGCTTTCCGCTCCTGCCTGTGCCCAGCGGCCCCGGAGGGCCCTTCCCGCGGGGGGTGCTGGGACAGACCCCGTTCTCTCAGATGTGAGGTTCTGGATTCTTCCAGGGCCTTCTAGTGGCATGGGGGCTGGTTTCCTTGCATGTGCCCACCCTCAGAGTCCCCGGTGCCCTTCCTCGGACTGGACTCCACGGGCCGCCTCTGGGACTGCGTTAGAACCCAGCGCAGGCCTACCCGCCTGCTCCCGTGAGCCTCAGTGCTGAGCCGTGGCATTGCCACTCTGCAGTTCAGGTGGGAAGACACCTGAGGAGTTTCTCTGCGCAGCTGGCCTGTTTGCACAGGCGGGTTCCAGCCCGGGAGGCCCCAGGGTCACAGGAGCTGGGGGCAGGCAGTGGCTGCAGGTCCGCCCCGCTCAGCCCTGACCCAGGCAGTGCGTGCCCACTTACTTGAGCTGCTGGGTCAGCTCAGACTTCTGGATTTGCTGCACCGCCTCCTTGGCATTGTCGCCCAGCTGCCGGAAGTAGTTCCACACCACGGAGGCCACCTGGTCGGGATTGACCTCGGCCCGCGTGCCTGGGCAGGAAGCAGAGCAGCTCATGAGACCACCATGCCCCTCCCCATTCCCCTGGCTGCAGCTGGCGCCGAGGCCAGTGGCTGCAGCTGTGGACGTGCCAGCCCTCCCTGAGCCAGGTGGCTGCTGGGCAGCCCTCGGGTCCGGCCAGGGCCGACAGGCACTGGACTGTCCCTCCTTCTGGGCCTCCGACTCTTGGCCCTGCCCCAGGTCCAAAGGCAGCTGCTACTCACCGGTGACAGCCACCAGGGCCAGCGCCAGCACCACGGCCTTCAGGGACATCCTGGCTGCTGGCTGGCTGCAGCCCCGCCGCACTGACCCTTCCTGGAATCGGAGCAAGAAGAGAGGCTCTCGAGGGCTTCCTTCGCTCTCCGGACTGAGCAGCCGGGGCCAGCCAGGCATTTAAACCCCGGCCGCCCGCCCACGGCCCCTCCCAGCGGGACTCCACGCTGGCAGGTGACACATTCTCAGGAGGCCTCTTGGACTTTTGTGACCCTCAGATGACGTGGAAGCTGTCAGCAGACTGGGGCTTGGCCAACAATCAGAAGCGGCTGTTCTCTGCTTGCGCCCCACCCAGTACGAAGGGAAGAGGGAGTGTGAGCTGCGGAGAGTGAGGCCCTGAGGCCTGAGTCTATGTCCCCAGGCCCAGCTGGCAGCTCGGGGCCGGGGCCAGGCTTGGGGGACAAAGTTCACATCTCCTCTGTCTACCCCAGGGGTGAGAGCATCCCCGCCTCCAAAAGCCCCAGTCTGATTCCATCTCAAAGCACCCGACTCTAGACGGGGACGCCCGGGGCCACGGTCAGGGCGGTGAGCTAAGGGCCAGGTCCCCGTCAGGTGCGCCAAGGTGGACGGGCCTGCGGAACCTGGGGCAGGCCCTGTGCGGAGGAGTCAATTCTAAGTTTGCCTCCTGTCCCTGCTGCCAAACTGTGTCACCTTGGTCTCGTGATTCAACTTGGCCCAGCGCTGAGCCTGTGTCTCTGAAAATGGGTGGTCGGATCTATTAAACGAGACGCTTCTTGTGAAGTAAGCGGCACAGCGCCTGGCACAGACGAAGCACCAAAGAGCTGCTGATGTTAAAAAAAAAACTGATTTGGACCGGAGAATGCTCACCCTCCCGTGAGCGTGCCGGTGAGACTTGTTCTCTGCAGGCCGCCAGGGGTGGCGGTGCAGGTGACAGACAGTAGGGCAGCCCAGGGCGGGTCGTGTTCACCGGCCCTGCCACACTCCCTGGCCGGCTTCTGGTGGCACTCAAGCTCTGGCTCTCAGGGCCCTTCACCAGGAGGGTGGGGGCATCAAGAGGCCTTCTACTTGGACTCCTAGCATCCTCTCCACACGAGGTCTCACACAGACCCCTCTCCCCAGGACCAGGAGCCGACATCTGTCACAGGCAGGGCGCGGCCGGCCCCCTGTCAGAACAGACCCTGACTTGCCACCTCCATCATTTTGTTTGTTTGTTGTTGTTTTTTTGAAAATATATTTTATTGGTTTTTTTATAGAAAGGATGGGAAAAGGATGGAGAGTTAGAAACATCGATGAGAGAGAATCATCGATCAGCTGCCTCTTGCACACCCCCTACTGGGGGTGTGCCTGCAACCAAGGTACATGCCCTTGACCGGAATCGAACCCGGGACCCTTCAGTCCATAGGCCGGTGCTCTATCCACTGAGCCAAACCGGTTTCGGCGCCACCTCCACCTTCCCATGCCAGAGTAGCCTGGTGTCTGCGGGGGAAGATGGCTAAAGGCCTGCTGCTCACAGCCCTTCAGCTGCCCTCCGTCCCCCCCGCCCCCGCTCCCCACGCCCCCTCACCCCCCCAGCATCGGGGAGCGCCTCCCAGAGCACCGGGCTCTCCTGCAGTCGTTGTTAAGGGTTCAGATTCTGGGGTCAGACCCCTGGTTATCCATCTGGGCTCCCCACTCACTGTCTGTGTGTCTGTGGGAACTTGGGCAAGTCTTTTACCCCCCCACTCCCAACCCCACCCCCGAGCCTCAGCTGCCTCTTGGGCTGAGGATTCTGAGAGTCTGTGTGATGCTGGGAACAGGGTCCGGCGCATGGTCAGCACCCGTCACGCAGCAGCCGCGTGCTGCCCTGAGAGGCTGACTCCTCGCCGCTCCGGAGGCAGGCACGGTGAGGGGGGTGGGCCAAAGTGGGGCTCAGTAGCCTGTCCCAACCCCTCCTCCCGGCCCAGAGACAGAGGGTAGTGAGTCACAAAGGACACCTCAGTGGCAGTTTGACCTCCTGGACTTGCTGTCCCAGCAGCAGCATGTGGCAGGCTGAGTGCGGCTGCCTCCTCGCTGCGGAGTCTGCGCTGAGTGAGCGTGTCCTAGCGGCTGCAGGCCGTGTACGGGCACACATAAGTATGCGTGTAGATGGGCAGTTTGTGGACACACAGCTCGGGCCTGGAGCAAAAGGCTGGCACAGCCTGGCACCTGCACCCACAGACGTGTGGTGGGTGGCACACCATTAATGGTGCATGCATTGTCCACTGCGGGCATATTTCTTCGGCTGTGAATGGCTTAGTGCTGGGGCCGGCTTAGAGGCTGCAAGTGCTGACGGGTAGCACAGAGTCTGCCTCTGCAGGCCCCGGGCTCTCACTGGCCCTGGCCCTGTGCGTCTGGGGCCTGTGTGCTATTGGACGAGTCCTTTCCTCTCTGAGCTCGTCTCCTTGATGTACAGCAGGAAGACCTAAAGGCTGTGCCGTGACCAGGCTATAGTCCGGCATCACCGATAGCCACCCTCCTGTCCACCCATGGGGTCACCCCAGGGGTCAGCCCAGAGAAAAGGGTCAGGAGGGGACCCCTAGGCCCAGTCAGGGGCAGACATGGATGTGTGTCCCCACGTGTGCTCCATGCTGACCTTTGTCTCAGGGAGAACTAAGGGGGTCATCTCCTGTTGTAAAAGGCAGGATCTGGGCAAGGAGGAGGGGCTTCCGGTGTGGAGAGGCGAGGTGAGCCAGGGCCTCTGCTGGTGGGCCGAATCAGGGCTGCCAGGCCAGCTAGTGGCAGGGCAAGGGTCACGGGGCTCCTGGACACAAGTGGAAGCAACGAGAGTCAGCCCAACACTCCTCCCCGGCCCCCACTGCACGCGCCTGCGCACACACACGCACACACACACACATGCGCACACACCCTGGGTACTCCCCAGAGCTGGTCGGTAGGCCAAAGTAGTCTCTTTAATCCAGGAGAGCCAGGCAGGAGGGAGGGAAAGGGAAAAGGAGAGCGGGGCCTGAGAGGACCCTGCCCTGCCCACTGAGACAGCCCTCTCCCACAGAGACCCAGGCTCGGAGCTGCTAGGCAGGCACAAGCACTCACAGGGGCCAGGCCCTTAGGAGGAGATGGGTCCCAGGGGTCAGGGCATGTGATGACCAGCTGCATGCCCACTCACCTGCCTCTGCTCCCAGCTCGGCACCACCTGCTGGGCTGCTCTGCCTGCAGCTTCTCGCCTGCCTGGGCTCAGCGGACACTGCCATGCAGGACAGAGAACAGCTCCTCACACCCCGCCCACATGGAGGTGGAGTGGGAGGAAGCAGGGCTGAGGGCTGCAGCCATTCCATCCGAGCACCTGGGCTGAGGTGTGGTGCCTCAGCCCTACCGGGACTCTGATTTCTGCCGTCCTCTCACCTCTTGGGATGAGAAACGGGCCAGAGCAGAAGAGGGAGGTGGGCAAAATTGCCTGCTACCTCCCAATGCCCAAATCTTTTGTTTGTTTGTTAATTCTCATCTGAGGATATTTTTCCATTGACTTATTTTATTTTATTTTTTAGAGCGAGTGGAAGGGAGGGAGAGAGACAGAGAGGAACACCGATGTGAGAGAGACACATGGATTGGTTGCCTCCTGCACATGCCCTGACCAGGGCTGGGAGCAAGCGTCCACCCAGGCATGTGCCCTTGGCTGGAATCAAACCGGGACCCTTCAGGCCAGTGGCTGATGCTCTATCCACTGAGCAACACCAGCCAGGGCTCAGAGACCTTCTAATCACCTTTCTCCCACCCCATCCCCATCTCCATCACCGACGTGATGAACTGAGGATGAGTGACTGATAAGCCTCCAGGAGCTCACCTCCCCACTGCTCGCACCAGCGAGGGTGTTTGAAGACCAGGTTGTGTTTCCTCCTGAGGGGCCCTGCACTCGATCCCTCTCCACTCCTTTGGGGTCCTTACCTACAAAATGGGGTTAGTCATGTCTACCACATGGGAATCGGAATAGTTAAATTTTGACAGAGAACAAGGTCTAAGCCAGAGGAATGAGTGTCTGACAGGAATATTCCGAGCCTCAGTCCTGCGTGAGGAATTCTGGGGGTAGGCCAGGCCACTTCCTCCGCTCTGATTCCGCCCTGGGGCTGCTCCTTCCCGACAGTGCGCCAGACGCCAGAAGCCCGGTCGGTCTCCCTCGGAGGCGCCCCCCTCTGGCAGCGGTGTCGGGAGGGCATCATTGGGAGGAAGGGAGAGAGATCAAGGGGCCCCCTTGGTGGGTCAGCACTTTGTACCTTCTCCTGTGCTCTCACCAGAGCTCTATCCCTGTTTCCCAGGGGAGAGGGGTGAGGCTCTGGAAGGTTAGACCGCGCCCAGGCCAGGTGAGCACATGCCAGAGGCATCACTTCAACCTAGGATTCCGTGGCTCCCAAGTCTTAGCAGCTAGACCTCCTAGTCCCCTGATCTTGCCATGCAGGCCATGGCTCCCGCTGTGGGCCATGGGGACACGCCCCAGCCCCCCTTCTCCTGGCAGCCAGCCGACCCTGCAGAGTCTCAGCCCTCTGCCCACCAGCCTGGCTTCTCCCAGCCTTGCTTTCCACCAGGCGCCCAGCAGCCAGTGCCGCCATTTCCAAGCTGAGGAACCGGTGGTGAAGGGCGCTCGGCGCTGGAATGGAACCCAGCGGCCACCGCGAGGGGAGGGCCCAGCCCGGAGCCCACAGCGGCTCTCCCCCGGGACTGTTATCAGTGGGTCTAGAGAGCAAGGCGAGGAGCGGGGAGGCGGGGCAGGACCGAGGCCAGAGTGACCTTGGCCCTTCTCCCACCACCCCCTGCCCTGGGCCAGCACGGGGAGGCTTCTGGGTAAGCAGCACTGGGATTGAAGCCAGAGTCGGAGATGCGGGGGAGGGGGCTGTGTGGACTCAGCAGTGTCACCTCCTGTGTCATGCCCAGGCCTCTGTGACCTCCCTCCAGACACCCTATCCCAGTGCTCTGAGTTGTTCCCAAGCCCATTGCCCTTGGGCTGTTATCAGGCTTAGGGGTGGGGAAGGGAGGGACCAAGAGTGATGTCAAAGGTGGACCCAGAGGCTCTGGCTTGTCCCTAAGCCCCTCTCCTCTCGCCGGCCTCTCCAGGGGAACCAGGCTGCTAGGAAGGAGTGGGGTCTTTCCAGGCTCAAACACCCCCAGTTCCTCGTACACCCCCAGTTCTGGGCTGTAGGGGTCCCGGGAGAGTGGCATGGGCACCCACAGCCTTCTAGAGATTTCCCAACTCTCCCAGCAGGCCTCGCTGCATCGGGCCGCCCTGCCTTGGGCCCTGGTCTAGACTGATCAGCAGGTGACCTTTGCCCAGCTCACCAGGTCCTAGGCACCCGCTGCCCCGGGGACAATATAAAACAGGTCAGAACCTCTGCTCTGCCTGTTCGATTCCTTCCCAGCAGCAGCCGCTCCAGGTAATGTCCTGGGCGCGGGGGGTGAGGGGTGGGGGGGACAGGAGAGCAGGATGGGAAGGGCGGAACAGGGTCCCCGTTGTCCAGCCAGCAAAGTCTGAGAAAGCCCAGGAAGACTTAGGGCTTAATGGAGGCCCCCACCTCCGATGGCACACTGGGGGAAACTGAGGCACGTGGAGACGAAGTCACCTGCCCAGAGCTGGGGCTGAGCTGGCTCTAGGCCTGCACACTTCCCTTGTCCGCATGTCTGGGACGGGACACCCCAGTCCTTCCCAGACAGGAGTCAGAGGCCCGGGATAGATAGGGTCACAAGGTCACACAGCGTGTCAGTGGCAGAGGCGGCCCAGACCCAGTGTCCTGATTCCGGGTCTGCTGGGCTTTCTGTTCCACCCACACTCCTCCTCGGGCTGCGTCTGCTTCGGGAAGCCTTCGCCTCCGGTTATCATGTTCGCGTGGGAGCAGGCTCTCACCGGCTGCAGCCAGCTCGGGGCACGGAGCCACAGCCCGCAGCCTGCAACTCCCCTCACCAGACCTTCCCTGCAGGGACAAAGCCGTCATGCAGCCCCGGCTCGTCCTCGTTGCTGCCCTCCTGGCGCTCCTGGCCTCTGCCCGTAAGCCGCTTGGGGGGCTAGGGCTGGGGACCAGTGGGGGCGGGGGCACCAGAGGACCTGGAAGGCGGCTTGGTGATCTGGGCTGATGGGAGGCTGGCAGGAGGGTGGTGGCTGATGCAGCCCTCTCGGCCACTGTCCTCGCAGGAGCCGCGGAGCAGGACGAGGCCTCCCTCCTGGATTTCATGAATAACTACGTGCAGCAGGCGAGCGAGACCGCCCAAGTCGCCCTGACCAGCGTGCAGGACTTCCAGATGGCCCAGCAGGCCAGGTATGCCCGCGGCCCCACCTGCCCCACCAGGACCTGTGCTCTAGCCTCCGGCCTGGTCTACGCAACAGGCCCTCCCCCTGCCCCCTCCCTCTGCCGCCTCCTTCCTCCCTCGGCTGTCCTGTGGCTTTAAGGAAAGCCCCAGTTCCCTGTCCTTTTCTGACAGCCCCCCACCACACACACACACACACACCTCATTTCAGCCCAGGGTGGGTGTGTGTTTCAATCTTGCTCTGAGCCCGAGCTCCCCCCCCCACCCAGGACCAGAGTCTGTCCCTCCTCTACCACCTGCCCTGCCCCCATCCTCTCCCCTGCACCTGCGCTGCCCAGCACTGCGGTGTCCCTGGGCAGAAGCCCGCAGACACCTCAGTCCGCAGCGCTGCTGTGCAGTGGGGATTCTTCCTTCCATTTCACTGATGAGAAACTCGTGTCTCGGAGAGGTTGTGACCTGCCCACATCACACAGCTGACTTTCCAAACGAGAGGCCTTTCCTTGCGCCTCCCCGACGCCCCCCGGCTCCACGCACACTCTGAGCCCCCAGGCTGTATAACTCCGGGGCAGCGTTTGCCTAGAGTAGAATGGCAGGCTCCCCCTGCACCCCCGCACCTCATCATTAGGTCACATGAGCCCAGCCTGGGGTCTCGGGTGCCGTGGGCGAGGCTGAGGAGGGAGAGGCAGTGGGGATGTGGAGGGGCCACGGCGGCCGCTGCTGCAGAGGCACCCTGTCTCCGTGCAGGGCCTGGATGACAGAAGGCATCAGCTCCCTGAAGGACTACTGGAGCTCCCTCACGGGCAAGATCTCCAGCTTCTGGGACCTGGCCCCGGAGGCCTCCGAGGCCCCCGAGGCCACCGCCGCTCCCGCCACCGTTTAAGCCACCTGAGACCTCAACGCCCCACGCCTGCCTGCCCACCCACCCTGCCGGCTCCTTGGGTCCTGCGCCTCCAGGGCTGCCCCCACGTTCCCTCCCAAGGGGCAGCATTCTCAGGGTCCTCCCCGCCCACCCGGCCCCGGCCCCAGCATGCCGTCTTCCCAATAAAGCTGCTGTGAGTGGGGCGTCCCCCATGTGCCATGTCATGTCTGGGCTGGGCACGGGCGGGCGGCTCTGCAGGCGGCGCTGGACCGAGCTGGTGCCTTCCCACCTCTTCATGTGTGGGCCGAGTTTCTTCCCTGTAAGGAAGGAGTAACCCTGCCAGCCTCCGCGGGTTTGTGTGGAGGCGCAAACAGGATGCCGGTGTGACAACACTTCGCAAACTGGCCCCTGCTGCACAGCATGCCGCTGCGTGTGCTCCTGCCAGGCGCTGTGCCTGCGCTTGTATGTCGAGTCAGAGCTGAGACTGTCCATTCGCTCAAGTTATGGAGCTGCTGGCTTGTACCACGAGGGCCACGAGCCAGCTCAGCCACCCCGGAGGGGAGGCGCCCCCGGGGGAGCTGTGGGGTAAGATATGACCAGGCTCTGACCTTGGCTCCACCAGGCATACCAGCCTATGATGCCCCCTCCATTGTAGGTTTGTTGAATGAATGAATGAATGAATGAATGAAAAATTAGACAGTGTTTACCACCTGGCACATCAAAGGCTGTCATTGTGGCTACAGTTTGAGCTGATTGCCCCCTTGGGACTGGGATCGGAGGGAGAGGGCCAGGGTCTTTGGAAACTAAGAGGGAACCCACGGTCACCCACAGATGGTGCTTTGCTGAGAGTTCCAGTGAGAAACCAACCCTACGATGACTTTCCAAATTAGAGGCCTTTCTCCCTCCCCCCCCCCCCCCGCCACCACACACACACACTGAGCCGTCAGCTTGCCCACGTCACAGTCAGCTTGCCCACGTCACAGTCAGCTTGCCCACGTCACAGTCAGCTTGCCCACGTCACAGTCAGCTTGCCCACGTCACAGTCAGCTTGCCCACGTCACAGTCAGCTTGCCCACGTCACACTCAGCTTGCCCACGTCGTCACAGTCTGCTTGCTCAGTGGCAGAGCCAGACCTCAAGCCCAGGCCAGCCACCCACATTCTGCTCAGCAGACACAGAAAGAAGCCTTCCCTCCTCCTGTGCCAGCTGAGAAGGCTCCCAGACCAAGCTGGGCGGGGCCTGCACACCTGGACCCCCTTGGAGGCATCTGCTGCCCCCGAGATCGGCCGGCTTCTCTCTGACCTGCTGGGCAGTGTTCTCACCGGGGCCGATACCTGCTGGTGCAGGCGGTTAGAAACCAAGATGGTTAGGAGCCGAAAAGCCTGCTCCTTTACCCAGGGGGCCTTCAGACAGACTGGAGCGGGCCGCGAAGAGGCTGGTGTGAACTGGGCCGTACACATGTGGATGGTGCGGGCATGTATGTCCAGTCAAACGCGGTGCTGGCCACACACGTGTTTTGTTCAATAGCCATGGACGCCCAGAGGCAAAGGGGTCTGAAAAGGGCAACCCCTGCTACCCTCCTCTCCAACCTGGGGAGCGGACCCCCGTCTCCAAGCCCCAGTCCCTCCCCGATGGACATGGTTTGATGGTGTCCAGCCGGGACTCTGAGAGGGCTGCGGTAAGTCAGTGGCCTGGAAGCATCTGGAAATAAAAATGTGCTAACTCTGTGGCAGTGTGGTTGTTTTTCTGACTCAGGCCAGGGCGGGCAGAGGGGGTGGCAGGGCTTGGCGCCTCCCGGTGGGCTGGCTGGCTTCGCAGCTGTGAGGACACAGTGGCTGCTTCTGGATAGGGTGGGAGGGAGGGAGGGAGGGCAGCTGCCCTTGTGAAAAACCAAAAGGGAAGTGCTACATGCAGTTCCATCCATAAAGGAGGAAGGAGCAAGGGCCATGCTCTTGGTTTGAATCTGCCCAGATTCTTCAAGTCTCGCCGAGGTGCACCACACCCTTTACCGGAGCCCAGGCTGGGAGGTCCTGTCTGCCCAAGGGGGGTCTCGGGAGACCTGAACCGCTTCTCCCAGCAAAACAGCCCGCCTCCTGCCCCTGCCTGGCTCCCACCCCCCAAGGGACCGCGGCTGCAGTCTGGGCTCCAGGGCATTGGGCATTGGGCTATCTGTCGCCCCGCTCTGCCGTCCTCGGCAGGGCTGCCTACACCGCAGCCGCTCCGGGAGCAGTCCAGCCGGAGCTCCCCGCCCCGCAGGCTCCGGCCGTGTGCTCCGAGGCCCGCACCCTTCCCTTCTCCCGAGAGAGAGCCACTGGGAGAACTTTTTATTGTTTAAAAATCATCCGTGAAACTTCAAAAACCATCGAACCCAACGCATGCGGGAGTCCCGCTTTGTAAACGTTTATTCTGAGAAACAGAGCGAGGGCGAGGGACAGAGGCCGGGCGGGGAGGGGGCGCCTCACTGGCCGGCCCCCTCCTGGGGGAGCTGGAAGTTCTCCCACAGGGGCAGCATCCCCAAGCGCAGGTCCTCCAGCAGGTTCTCCAGCATGGCCCCCAGCGGCTCCGAGTTCTTGCTCAGCTGGCTCAGCTTCTCCCGCAGCTCACTCAGCTTCTCGCCCGCCTTCTTGTGCAGCTCACTCAGCTTCTCGCCCGCCTGGTCCCGCAGCTCACCCAACCTCACGCGGCCCTCCCGCAGCGCCTGCAGCTGCGTGGCCAGGCCCTCGGGCATCTGGTCGCCGTAGCGCTCCAGCAGCTTCTCCACGGACTTGCTCGCGCCGTCCCGCATCTTCGAGCCCAGCTTCTCCCGCAGCTGCTGCAGGTAGAACGTCACCCTCTCCTTGGCCTGCTCCAGGTCCTTGTTCATATCCTGGGTCAGCAGGCTGTTCCAGTACTCCTGGGTCACCATCTGGGAGAGCTGATCGCGCAGTTTGGTGATATTGGCACCCAGGGCGTCCAAGTTGTCCATGATTTTCAGGCTGAGGGAGGAGGGAGAGCAGGGGCAGCCGGTGTCAGGAGGGACCTCCCAGGCACCCTGGACACCTCGGAGCTGCAAACCCAGCGCCCAGCTTACCTATGGTGAGACCTGGGCAAAGCCTGTTCCTGCTTTTGGGAAGCGATGGGTCAGGCCTCGGCCCGGCTTCTCCCATGAGGTATCTCTCCCAAGCACCCACCTCTTCTGCACCCGCCCCCTCCCCAGTCCACAGACTGAAGAGATAGTGGGAGACAGCGCTGGTTTGGGGATCAGTCTTGTCTGTCCCCAAAGCCGGACCATTTAACAGCCTCATCTCTGTACTTCAAGACCGTTCTCCTCTCTCGGAGGCTGCCTCCCTGCCTCTCGGTGAGCGGCAGAGGGACTGGAGGGAGGGAAGGAAGGGGCAGCTGCTCCTGCAGGCAGGTCTGCTCCCCGCTAGGAGGCTGTGACCTTGCCTGGAGATCCCATTCCTGTTTCTCCATTCAGGTAAGAGGCCCATCAGGTAGCAGTTGGGATCAGCCAGTGTGGCTACATCTTCCTACAGGCCTGGCATCCGCCCTCAGGACCGGCAGCCCCTGCGCCACCCGGAGCCCACGTGAAGTTCTTACTTCATCTTTTTTGCCAGTTCGCAGGCTTCGATCCTGGACACAGCTTCTTTGCCCACTTCTTTCAACATGTCCACATACACGCTGGCTACTTCCTTCACTCTATCCCATTGGAGCTGGGGGTCGTCCTGCTGCAAGGTGTGCCGAGCCTGGCCCCCTGGGGTGGAGGAAGGCACCTCGGTCAGGCCAGCTCTGGGCCGGGACCTGCGCCCAAAGGCCAGCATGGCGCAGGAGAGAGGGGGCTTGGGAGAAGGTCTGCTCCCTGTGCCCAGAAGGGCAGACCACGGGGTTAGGGAGAGGCCCTCCTGGTGTTGGGGCACTTACCTGTGAGGAAGAGCACGGCCAAGGTGAGCACCACGGTCTTCATCTTGGGCGACCTGGAGGGGGAGAGGGGCCTGGCTGAGTGGGGCCTGTGGCTGCAGGGCCCGTGCCTGTGCCCCACTCTCCGGGCGGAGCAGCCTCAGGCATCCAGAGCCTGGCACCTGGCAGAGCCTGGAGCCAAGATCCCAGAGCCCCAGCTCAGAGCCGGGGCCAGAGGAGCTGGAGGAGGCAGCGGCGTACCTGGGTGAGTGCTCAGCGTCTGAGAGCAGTGTGCCCGGGGCCTATTTATGCCCCCAGCAGACCCGGGCCGGAGGCTGATAAGTCCAACCCAGGCCTTGCCAATCTCACAGGTCCCAGCGGGAATCTGGAACTTAGAGTTCAAGGATCAGTCTGTCCCTGGAGCTGGGCAAACAGAGTGGGCAAACAGGAAGCTGGGGGGTGGGGGACCTGCAGGGCCAGGGATCAAGGATTCAGGAGGGAGTAGGAGGGGGTGGCTGCAGGCTTACAGGTCCCCAGGGTCTGGGCCAAGGTTTCCCACTATTGTCCATTGTGCCCGCCCAGCAGGGGAGAGGAGGGGAGGAAGAAGGTCCCACGCTGACCAGGAACAGCAGGAAGCCCCCTGCGGTTCCAGGGAGATGCGCCGGCCGCACCCCTCCTGCCCCTCCCCCAGACTCTCCCCTCTCAGCTTCAGTTCTGCACCCCTCTCTCCCAGCCCCTGGAGACCTCCCAAGCCTAAGCAAGAGAACATGGGGTGCACAGAGCCACCTGGGGAGCTGCCTGGGGAAAGTGCTCAGTGGCCCCAGACTTGGAGAGAAACCTGTAGTGTTTCCAAACAAATCCTAGAGACCAACCATAGAGTTGTGAACTTTTAATGCTGTCATGTAAAAACCCTACTGACTGGGGCCCAAATCCTGCCATCTACCATGACCAGCACTTCAGAACAGAAAATAGTTTTGTTTTTGTTTTTTAAAAAAACAACATATTTTTATTGATTTCAGAGTGGAGGGAAAAGGGAGAGATAGAAACAATGAGAGAGAATCATTGATCAGCTGCCTCCTGCACGCCCCCTACTGGGGATCAAGCCTGCAACCCGGGCATGTGCCCTTGACCAGAATCAAACCCGGGTCCTTCAGTCCTCAAGCCAACACTCTAATATACTGGTGAGGGCAAGAAAAGATTTTTAACACCAAAATAGAGCATAATCTCAGAATAAAGGACAGTCACGTAAACGGAAGACGTGGATCTTTGTATGGGTCATTTTTACATGCGTCACACAAGGTGAGAACGGATGGCGGGACCACTGATGTGGGAGGAAAGACCTCGGGTCCAGCAGAACCACTTTCTCATTTCCTCCTGCCTCCAACTTGCAAAGCCCTGGAGGCACCGGGGAGGCAGTTTTGTGATCTCCCTGAGCTTCCGTCTCCAATCAGCAACATGGGGACGGCTTGTGGGCCCAGGAGCCTGACAGAAGAAGCGCTGTGCTTGCTGGCGTGCAGCGCCGTTCAGTGAGGCTGCTCTCCGAAGGCCAGCGCCTCCGCACCAGGCCACGACAGGCCCTGAGTCAGGGCCTCTGACTGTCCACGCTGACAGGCACGTGGAGATCAGCTGTTCCAGCCTCTCCAGCACCTTGGAAACAAGGAAGCTGAAGGCAGTGAACGGAGTTTGCCCAGTGTCTCTGGTCTCCCAGGAGGTGGAAGAGGGACGGGACCCAGAGCCCAGGTCTCCGGACTTGGGACCCCAGGCAGAAATGTGCCCTCCGCCTCCCAGTGCCAGCTCCTGGCGCCGAGGGGCTCTGGGCCGTCCCCATTGTAGCCAGTCTCATGCCTTTCGCCTCTGAAAGCTTGGGAGCCCGGCAGCCCTGGGCTGGAGTCCCAGCTCTGCCACTTACTCTCTGCATGCCGCTGGGCCAGTCACAGAACCGTAAGGACCAGCTCTTCCATAGCAAGGCTAGCCTGTCTGGCAGGCAGAACAATGGTCCCCCAAGTCCTGCTCCTTAGAACCTGTGGCTGTTCCCCTGCATGACAAAGGACTGCAGATATGACTATGAGGACTGAGAGATGGTGTGGTCATCTCGGTCATCCAGGCTGGCCCAGTACCATCCCAACCCCCCTGAAATACACGCGAGGGGGGCAGGAGAGGTGGAGCCAGAGGAGGTGGCGAGAGGGTGGGAGCAGAGGTCGGAGTGAAGGGAGTGCTGGGCAGGGCCAGGAGCCAAGGAGTGTGGCCTTGGAGGCTGCAGAGGCAGAGGCCCATGGCCCCTAGAGTCTTCGGAAGAAATACAGGTCAGCAGACACCGTGAAGTTAGCCTCGTGACCCCATGGCTCTGTGACCTGCAGAACTGTCCTGAAAGACAGTACATTTTGTTGTTTTAAGCACCAAATTTGAACTTATGTAACAAAACTGAAAGGTCCTGGCACCGCTCTGTGCCCCAGAATCCCAACGTTGGCACTTTATCCCCTTGCTCCCACTGACCACACGTGCTCAGACCAGAGCTTCAGGCAGCAGGAGTTGGGGGGAGGCAGGGACCCACTTTCTCCTGCAGACGCTGAACTGTGGGATCTCTGTTCCGGGCTGGCCCAGCCCCAGAGGCCTGTGGGAGCCTCAGTGGGCATTTCCTGGGGCCAGCCCAGCTCTCTGCCTGTTTAGTGAGCGGGAGGGAGGGCAGTCCCTGCTCGGTCAGCTCACAGGGAGGTGTCTGAGGGCAGAGGGTCACTTTCTGGGGGTAGAACTCATTCCAGCCAGTATATGGGCTCTCAGAAGCGTCAGGTTGGACTTCAAGCTGCTCGTCACTGTTTTGCCTCCTCTTTGGTTTGTTTCTGAAACGGGTAATACGGCTGAGCCCAGGCTCCGGCATTCGCACCGTCCCTCATGGCCTTCCTGGTGACCTGAGCGGCCTGTGAGTGCCTGTGAGGCCAGCAGAGCTGCCAGGAGCGTCCTTCCAGCCATGAGGATGCGGTGCTGGCGGGAAGGGACTTAGGCCTGGCTTCCAGCCCTGACGGCTGCCTGATGGCCACCAGGCCCTCCGCCCCAGCCAGGCCCTCTCAGGATGCCGCCCCGGCAGGCTCAGGCACTTGGTGGCTGGGGGGAAGATGCTCCATCTCACCGGAGGTATTGGCTTAAGCCAGCCCCGCCCCGCGCGGCTCACACTTTGGAGAGAAAGGAATCTTTCTGGGTGGAGGACGAGGGAAACATCCTGACAGGTTGGTGCATCTCAGACTCAGATCTGGGGCGGCCTCCGTCAGAGGCACCACGCGGCTCAGACCCGCTGTTTAGTGGGCACAGGACCCATCGGCGTACGTAGGCTTTGTGCTACCTCGCTTTCCCCACCGCAGGGGTGAGGGGCTGCTTCGGATGTGGGTCCCCAGCGGCTGGCCCTGGGCCCCCTGACTCATGTGGGGGTGCTGCTGTTAGCCAACTCCAGGAGTGGATTTTGCTCATTTCACAATTTATGTCCCAACGTTACACTGGTCAGTCTACGCTGGGAGGACTCTGTCCCCTGGCACATAACAGACACTCAGCAAACATTTGCTCACTGGATGACATTGGCACACTGAAGGAAGGGTCACAGGACAACAAAGGGTCATCTGAAGGAACAGGCCTGAGGGGGGCGGGGCCTCACGGAGCTCCGAGCATCCATCAGCCCGGATATGAACCATCTGAACGGCTACCTGAGAGCACGGGGGTCAGGATGGGGCCGGAGCAGGGGAAGGCGCCCCGGCCAATTGTTTCTATTTGGCAATCTTTTTGGTGACAGAGCCCCAATTTAGACCCCAGGGCAGGGCATTGTGACCAGCAAAATGCAAGATTCTCTCCGCCCTGCTGCCTCGTGAAGGTGGTGACAGACTTTATCTGGGACCAGCAGGAGAGAGGGATGGCTCAAAAAGTGGTGCCAAGCCCTGGCCAGGTGGCTCAGTCGTTGGAGCATCATCCCTTGCACCGCAAGGTTACAGGTTCGAGTCCCAGTCAGGGCACAGGTCCAGGTTGTGGGCTGGATCCCGGGTCCGGGCATCTACGGGAAGCCGCTGATGTTCCTCTCACATGGATGTTTCTCTCTCTTTCTCTTCTTCTCTCTCTGAAATCAATAAAAGAACCATGTCCTTGGATGAGGATTTAAGTTTGTGAGATGCTGGAAGGCATCTGAGGAAGCGCCTGGTTTCAGACACCTGCCCAGCTTCCCGCGGGGGTGTGGCCAGGCCCGGCGTTTGGGGAAGACCCCTCTGGAGAAGGCTTTCTGTTCCAGACTGCCCCACTGCGACTTCCTGGTCTGCCAGGGACTCCAATGCCTCCCGTCTCAGTACCTTCTTCACCCCCTTCAGCCGGCGGGGCCTTACCGGATGCTGCCGGCTCTGGCGAGTCCAGGTGTGTGTGTTTGGGGGTGGGGGGTGGCAGGGAAAGTCCCATGCTGCCCTAACCCTGGGCTGGGCTGCTGGGCCACATCCTAACGGCCTGGCCTGGACGCCCCAGCTTTTGAGGCCCTTAACCTCTCAAGGAATGTTCTCCACCCGATTTAGCAAACCCCAGCGCGCCCTCGAGGGGCAGAGGCCATGCCAGGTGCAGGCAGGTTCTCTGCCCCCACCGCCCACCGCTCCCCACTAGACTCTGAACCGTCAGGCAAACAGCATGTCACACAAGCTGGCGACCAGCTTTATTTTCACAGCCCCCGCGGCCCGGGCAGTCACTGAGCCGGGAGCGCCACTGACGGACTTACTGCAACTGGGGCCCGGAGCTTTTTAAATCCTTTTTCAGTTCAACAGAAATGAGAAAGAAAAAATACTTCTGACATTTCCCAAGAACAGAATTAAGAAAGTATATTAATATACATTCAACATATACTGCGCATATTGGTTACAATACAAAGCAATGATTTCTGAAAGTCTAGTTCACAAGATGGCACGATGGGCAGGCTCACTGGCTTCCGTCTGGAGGGGGTCCACTCTCAGTCAATCCAGTTCCGCACCAGGACGGGGAGCAGTCGGGCACTGGAGTTCCAGGAGCCAAAGGTTAGCTGTCAGGGCCTCCTGCTGGCCCCCTGCTGGTGGAGGTGGA